CTTTAAGCTTTTTCTCAAAAAAAAAAAAAAAAAAAAAAATCCAGCCGTATACCATTTCAACTATAATTTTGAGGTTTTTGTTTTACAGATTGCACATTGTTTGTAACAAACTAAATATCTTCGAATCAATCAATCTGGTCATATTAGAGTCATTTCTGTGTGCATCTTTCTTTTTTTAGATCAAAAACTTGAACATTATAACAATACAACTTCAATCGTAAGGTTTTTCCTTTATATATTGCACATTTGTTTATTCATAACAAAATAAACCTAGGAATCAATCAATGCATTCATGTTAGAGTCATTTCCGTTGTGCATCCAGTGTTTTCTTGTATTTTTACAGTACTGGCAGGACGGTTGCAAGCAAGTCACTGTATTTCGATTTCCAGTAACTAGTGTAATTCACTTTACAGTGCACAAGATCAGTAATGCAAACTACAAAATAGTACTTTACTATATTTTTACTGTATTTCATAATTTCGCAATTTGATTATTGCTGTAATCAATTATACGGCATTGTACTGTAATATATATTGATACATTACTGCTAAATATTATTGTAATTTTCAAAATAGTTACTAATAATGATAATTTTATATTATAATAATATCATATTTATTTGGAAAATATAGGAAAACAAAATACTATTGAAGTCAAATACTCTCAGCTGTTTTGTTACCGACATTCTTTAAAATACCTATTTTGTGTTCAGCAGAATAAAAACGGTATGAAACTCATTCAGGTTTGGAACAACATGAGGGTGAGTAAGTGATGACAAATATAATTTGTGGGTGAACTATACCTTTAAAGGGATAGTTCACCCAAAAATTTAAATTAGCCCACTAGAAATTTAAAAAAATTTAAATTAATTAATGATTTAATCACCCTGGCCTCTAGCCATCCTAGGTGTATATGACATTTTTCCCTCAATCAATCAGAGTTATATTAAACAATGTTCTGACCCTTCCAAGCTTTATATTGGCTGTTTTGAAAGTGCATCTATCCATGATACAAGTGCATCTATCCTTCAGAAAAGTGCATCTATCCATGATAAAAATGCATCTATGCATCATAAAAGTGCATCCATCCATAAAAATATATATTAATATAAAATATTACAAATATTCATATTTAAGTTGTGCTTTAGATTTAAGTCAAATCCGTATGTTCTTTTGCCCAGAAGTTATTTTACTATTTAAAGATTTAAATATGGATATTTTTCTTACATCTTCATCTTCCTCATCACTCCACATAAAGTCAACATCTGTGATATTTTCATCAGCTATATGTTCAAGCACTTCAGAACTGAATATTCTGCACATAAAAAAAATTCTAAAATGTATCGGTACTGTGAATCTGGAAAAGTTTACAGATCTAGAAAAGTTTATCTCATCTGTAATATGGGCAAGGAAAAATTGCAGATGAGTTGTCAAAACAGAAACGTTTTAGGTTAAAGAAACATATAACTGAAATTAGGAAAAGGTTTAAGACAGGGAAAGGGAAAAGGGGAAAATATACCTAATCGTTATGGCTAATACACATCTCTGTCTGATTGTTTTATCTTCTTCTTTCTCATGGAAACCCTACATGTGGGATCCTTAAATGTCAACGGAATGAGGGATAAGAGTAAAGCTGATACAGTGATTAATTTTATCAAGCTAAAGAAATTAGATGTTATTTTCTTACACGAGACTCATAGTGATGCAAACAATGAGGTTGACTGGCGATTGTGGTGGAAGAATGAATGTGCGCTCACACATGGTACTAATCTGAGTGCAGGAACTGCTATTCTTTTCTCGCCTTCTATAAAAGCCAAATTTTGGAAAAGTGAAATTGAACCAGGAAGAGTTTTAGCAGTTAAGGTTGATTTAAATGGTCTTGTTTTTATGTTTATAAGTGTATATGCACCTAACATAGTAGCTGAGAGAATAATTATCTTAGATAAATTAAAAGGTTTTTTTAGGAAAGCAGAAGGGTAATTTTTTTTACTATCTTAGCTGGGGATTGGAATTCTACAATTAATGCTTTGCTTGATAGAAATAGAGAGGAACCTCATTTTCAGTCATCTACATTACTTGATAATGTCATTAAAACATCTAATCTCACTGATATATGGAGAGAAAATAATCCTTCTGTTAAGCAATATACATGGGTAAAGGTTAGTGACGGGAGGATTTCAGCAGCACGACTAGACAGACTGTACTTATCAAATAGTATGAAAAGTAGAATTTTTAATACATCTATTGTCCCCACATCCTTCACTGATCACAAATTAATCACTATTGATTGTAACTTGAACTCTAAGAAAAATAGAAGTGTTTACTGGCACTTTAATGTCAAGTTGCTACAAGATAAGAGCTTTTGTGATTCTTTTAAGCACTTTTGGGAGACATGGAGAAAAGAAAAAAACAAGGTTTGATAATGTTATTCTTTGGTGGGAAATTGGTAAAGCTCACATAAGGGATTTTTGTCAGCAGTATACATCTTGCTCTAATTTTAGTTTGAAACAATCTCTGGAACGGCTTGAAAGAGAAATCCTTGCCATTGAGAAAAACATGATGGGTGATCTTTCTCCCAATGTGCATGAGTGGTCTGAGAAGAAATTAAAATTAAGCTCCATTTTAAATGAAAACGTTAAAGGAGCTCTTGTGAGAAATAGATTCTTATCTATAAAGGATATGGACAGTCCCACCTCTTTTTTTTTCAATCTACAACGCAAGAGTGTACAAGTTAACCAAATGCATATTCTCTGTATGATCTCTGTACATTCGTACCTACCTAGATTTAGACAAGATGAATATGTCTGACTTTAGTTTTGTCCACTGGCTGACTCTTTTGTGGCAAGCTGTTGCATATTTTGCTGCTGTTGTGATCAAAATATATGATTTTGTTTTTTCTTACTTTTGTAATGCCTTAAAATTTGGTGCTAGTTGTTTAAATTTTGTGAAAGAAAAAAAAAAAACTGCTACTGTATGTTGTGAGCACAATGTACCAGGAAGTGTTCTTTTATTTCCACTATTTGAGAGCACAGTAACCACAGTCACTGCTCTTGCACCTGCTAATCTCTTTTATTTAAAGGTAAATCCCATCTTCCATCATCTTTTGTCATTTAGTGGCATCTTTCCGAATTTTTTTTCTTTTCTTTTTTTTTGTAATTTGTTGCAATTTTATAATTTGGTTGAGCCACATTGTGTCCCGTGGTGGTTTGGGTGTAGCTTCAGCACCAGCTATGAAAGGGCGCTCCTGTGCAGTTTCTGCTCCTGCCACTGCAGGGCTTCAGTGAGATCGGTGTCCATAGTTAGCAACATCTAACATCTTATGAAAATCAATACGATCATTTCCCGGAGGAAAAAATAAAATCCAGCCCAACAGTCTTTTTCATTCACTTGTCAATGTGTCAAATGACCATGATAATGGTCCATGGGATAATCCATCGCTAGCCATGGATGAGATTTCTACTATGGTGGCTCCCATTGTGCACTGCAACATGAACACTTTTTTATCATCACCATTTTAATAATAATAATAATAATAATAATAATAATTTGTTACATTTGTATAGTGCTTTTTCTGGGACCTCAAAACGCTTCACATATGGAAGGTTGAATCTCCTCAACCACCACCAATGTGCAGCTTCCACTTGGATGATGCGACGGCAGCCATATTGCACCAGAACGCCCACCACACACCAGACTACTGGTGGAGAGGAGACAGAGTGATGAAGCCAATTAGATTGTTGAGATTCATATGCTGATTGTTAATGTCTGTGTGTGTCTGAATGTTTAAAATCTTTTTTGTGTACAAAGTTTTTAAAATCCATCAGATTTTAATTATATAATACTGCTGGATCTCATGCTATAAAATCACAGGGCTTTTATAATCAATAATGTGAAATGAATGACACGGGAAACCAATATGGTATAGAGAACCATGAAAAAGTTAAGTGCGTGTTGGTGTGATGGATGGTGCATCAACGGTGGTCACCTTCCTGGAAAATTTTGCAAAAGAACATTTCTGCACACTGTGCAGGCAACCTTTCCCCTGTGCACTTCAGTACAAAAGAGCATCTTTCTCTAAAAGACAATGGATTTAGTGCCTTAGTGTGACGTTGCGTCTTTTTCAAGATGCCAATCCACCCATGTGTTTCTGGATGCGGTCGTTAAATGGCTGACAACCACGATCACTGTTTCACATATCTATGCCTTAACTATGCTGAGACAGCATTTGTGGATGAGTCATGTACCCACTGCAGGAAGATGACCATCGCGATGCTGAGATCCAGTACCTTGAAAGAGGTGGAGACCCCTCTGCTTTCCAGAGAGCTACTTTGGTTAATACACTGGGTGATCTGAGGGTTACAGTGGGGGCTCTCCCACCAGGTCAATCCCTGTGGACTCCCACTCCTCTATCGCAACGCAAGCTTGGTCCTTCTCATGGGGAACCCAGCATCTTATTCTGGGCTCTGCCAGAGGATCAGATGTTGATTGCTGCATTGGAGGGCAGGCTAGTCTCCCCCGGGGGTGGAGATTCGGCTGAGTTGCCCCCTTCAGGGAGAGTAACATCGACCCAGAGCTGACGAGCATACTTTCCTTGGCCGCCGCAAACGCACAAGGTTGGATGATTGGTTTCTCGGGTGGGTGTTGCCTTTCTTTTTGGAAGTCCATGAGGAGGTCACGAAGTCATGGAAGGCACCTTTTTCTGCCCAAAGCTGCTCCGGTGCCTCCTCTACTCTAACTACCCTCGATGAGATTGGAGGTTGCCCACATCTCCCATCCAGAGCTCTCGCGGCCAAGGCTTAAGTTACAGCGTTGCTGGACAGGCCGCTTCTGTTTTTTTACAGTATAAAAGCCATTTTGATTATGGCGAGTCCCTGTAAACCACATATAGGTGTGTGTGTGTGTGGTGGTGGGGGGGGGGGGGATGCTACATTTTGGGGACCAAATGTCAACACAACTATTTGTATGGTGTCTTTAAACTTTTCTCTGTCTCTGTCATTGTAGAATATAGATGTGACAAACTTCAGCAGCAGCTGGAGTGATGGCCTGGCATTCTGTGCTCTGTTACACACCTATCTACCTGCACATATCCCTTACCAGGAGCTCATCAGCCAAGACAAGGTACACATGTATTTCTTACATTGATTATTTTAAGTGTCTTAGTAAATCCTCAACTTATATTTAGTGCCTGGCACATTCAGCAATAAAACAGTGTGTTAACAGTCAAGACTTTCCCTCAGCTGACCTGCCCGATGTAATGAATTACATGCTTCTATGGATTAGTGTTGACAGAATACATGACACTCGGAGAGGTGTAGACACAACATGCATAACAAATACTGTAAATGGCTGCCCTGCCCTCCCTGTATGTTTATTCAACCATGCGCACACCCACGTAAACGCAATGTGCCACGGTCTTATGTGACAAATTGCAGCCATAAGTATAATAGTGATTACAGGAAGAGATGGTACATTATGCTTTTGAATTATTCACAAAGCCTCTTCCAGTGTGTTGTAAATGTCAAGGCTACTAAAAGGCCACGTATGTGGATCTAGAGCATTGCTAGAGAATTCAGTTGAGTTTAGACACCTGTTCACTACTGTAATTAATATTCAGATGGTTAATACTGGTCAAGTGGTTAAAAGAGTGCTGTTTTTTCCCCATAGGGACGAAATCTCACTCTGGCATTCCAAGCAGCTGAAAGCATTGGTATCAAGACCTCTCTGGTGAGTCTATGCTAGTTTTTTTTTTTTCTCCCATTTTTTCAGTCTTCTGTAATTGGGCAGATTTTGTTAATACAAGATTGTAGAAGTAATATAATTTACGATATGGCAAGTCATCTTGGACTTGCACCCTCTTACAAAAAATAAGTAACCTATACTTCAAGTTAATTTTATTATGTCTACTTTAGTAAAGTTCAAGTATTTTTAAGTATAGGCTACTTTATGTAGTAAATACAAACAAGTCCGACGGGGACTTGACAATAATCCTACTAGAAGTATACTTGTGTGCTGCTTCAATACTACTTGGGACTAATTGGCTCACTTTTTTTAAGCATACTTTGCGTAACAGTAGTCAACTACTGTAGTTTACAATTAAGTTTTTTTTTTGTATTGCTACTATACTACAAGAGAACAAATAGGTATACCGATAGTTTACTTGTAAATTTTCTTTAAGTATACATAAATTCAAACTTTTTCTACATTTATTACTATTTTTATATTATTTTTGCGCTTTAAGTATACTACTGTTTCAATTTTATAATTGTAATTTATGTACCTTTAACTGTACTTTAATTATGAAACGGCGTCCCTGAGGCCGGCTGCTCAGTGATAGTGTCATGGTTTTTCACAGGAGGCAGGTAGCAGGGCCCCTCCTTCCCCCGGTGGAGGGCCGGCAGAGAATCTTTTGTTCCCAGCTCCCCGCTGTTCACCCACGAGTGGGCAGCGGCCTGAGTTGGTTGAGAAGGACTTGACACTATCACTGAGCACACAGACAGGAATGAGTGCGCTCGACGTCCTGGGGCGTCGACCCTCTCACTCCTCTCTGTCTCTGAGGGTGCGGAAGGGAGCGTGTGTCGTCCCTCGACTACGCCACTCCCCTCCCCCTCTATCGCCAGACCCCCGGCAGAACAGACCCCCGTGGAACGCTGGTCCTTCCGTTTCTTCGGTTTGCTTTCGAAGGCCAGGCATATCAGTACACGTTTCTCCCATTTGGGTTAGCTCTGTCCCCTCGCGTCTTCACGAAGAGCGTCGAGGCAACCCTTGTTCCCCTTCGCGAACACGGGGTTCGCATCCTGAACTATCTCGACGATTGGCTGATACTGGCACACTCTCGAGAACAGGTTTGCGAACACAGAGACCTGGTGCTCCGGCACCTAGCCCGTCTTGGGCCTTCGGGTCAACCGGGAGAAGAGCAAACTTTGCCCCGTGCAGAGGATCTCTTTTCTCGGCATGGAGATAGACTCGGTCGCCATATCCGCGCAGCTCACGAACGAGCGCGCGTACTCACTGCTGACTTGTCTTCGACAGTTCGAGGTCTAGAGTACTGTCCCACTGAAACTTTTTCAGAGGCTCCTGGGGCATATGGCATCCGCAGCCGCGGTAACGCCGCTCGGATTGCTTCATATGAGACCGCTTCATCTGTGGCTTCGCGATCGAGTCCCGAGGTGGGCATGGCATCGCGGCTCGCTCCGAGTTCCAGTGACTCCAGCGTGCCGCCAAACCTTCTTCCCGTGGTCGAACCTCAGCTTTTTACGGGCCGGTGCCCTCTTCAGCGAGTTTCCAGGCATCTCGTTGTCTCCACGGATGCATCTACCACGGGTTGGGGTGCCATGTGCAATGGGCATGCAGCCGCGGGTTCCTGGGCAGGACCCCAGCGCCTCATGCACATCAATTGCCTCGAGCTGCTGGCAGTACGCCTGGCCCTGCACCGCTTTCGAGCACTGCTCAGGGGTCAACACATACTTGTCCGTTCAGACAATACCGCTACAGTAGCGTACATCAACCGCCAGGGTGGTCTACGCTCACGTCGGTTGTCGCTGCTCGCCCGCCACCTCCTGCTATGGAGTCAGAAGCACCTGAGGTCCCGTGCAGTGTACATTCCAGGAGACCGGAACCTGGCGGCCGACGAGCTGTCACGGGTCCGCCCAGTCTCTAGCGAATGGTGACTCCATTCCGCGTCGAAGTGGATCCTCTTCGTTAACTGGTGCTCTTCCCGCTGAGAAGACCCCCGGAGATGTTCGATCGGTGTCGTGCTTTCCTTCCTGCAAGAAGGGTTGAAGCGTAGGCTGTCGCCCTCCACCCTTAAGGTTACGTCGCGGCCATTGCCGCGTCTCATGATGCAGTGAAAGGTAAGTCTATGGGGAAGCACCAAGGTTCCTACCACTCCCTTCCGGGACCAGGTGGTGAACCTGCAAGCGCTGCCCCTGGAGGAGGCAGACCCAGCCTTCGCACTGCTCTGTTAGGTACGTGCGCTCCGCGCTTACGTTGTCAGATTGCGGTGTTTCAGGACCTCAGACAAGCTCTTTTTCTGTTATGGGTGGAAAGGCTCTCTTTCTCCAGAAGGGGAAGGGCTCTCTCAAAGCAACGGTTGACGCCATTTAGTCAGGGAGCCAAAGTCTCAAAAGCTCTATAAAATGGGCTGAACCTGACATGGTCTGCCATACTTTTTATTTGTATTTTTTCTGTTAACTTTGACCCTAAGAACAAATAATTGGAGGGTCTGCTCTGCCGGAAATATCGCGAAAAAAAATTGTGGCCATTTTAGTGTACGCACCCTTTATTTTTTATCAGAAAAATGTGAAAAATGATTTTTTTCATCAAATCCTCAGTGGGTTGTGTAGGTTCTCAATAAATGCATTCCAGATACACAGAACACATGTGCGGACAACATCCACTGAAAAAATCATTCTTAAAACACATTTCTACATGATTTCGCATCAATTTAATGCAAAAAAACAGGCGTTTTTTCACTTTTTTTCCACTATTTTCAGGTTTACTTCATTGGCAATCAACTATTCCCTTAAGTTATGACATCAGGCAATATGCCATTCTTTTCACCAAACACTATACTCATACCACAGAAAAAATGAAAAAAATCCAAACAAAATCAATGGATCTGTGATGATTTCACTACTAGGTGGCGATCAACAGGCTCAGAATTTCAATAGAATTTTAGACTACTCTCAAAATTCTCAAAAACATGCTGGATATTTAGCATCATGGCTCACTTACAAACACACACACACACACACGTGATCTTAGTAATTTTTATGAGTTTGGAACAACCAACCAACGGTTACCAACGGTTACCAACGGACTTCGAAGCTGCTCATCATTGTCTGTGGTAAGTGATAGTGACTAATATACCGGTAGGTCTGCCCCAGAGTTTTGGTAATTAACTGAAAGGACCACACCAGTCTTCAAACAATAATATTTCTAATGATTCCTCATCCCAAACGTATCCCTGTAGCAGCAGCATTCATTCTCTACTAGTTTACTTAGCTAGCGTTAGCCGTTTTAGCTAATTTCGGTGGTTTCTTTAAACGGCATTACTCCTCACAGGTATGGGGTAGAGAGTAGAGACTTACTTTTTTTAAATGCTCAGAATATTATGCTCTAAGAGAGGTATGTGTCCTATATGTTCAATAAGCTTTGACCGGAAGTTGAGAAATTGCCAAAATTTCAACTGGACTTGTTAGGTAAAGAAATAGATATGAGAATAAATGCTGCTACACGGATACGTTTGGAGCGAGGAATCATTGGAAATAAACTTGTATTAAGCCTGGTGTGGTCCTTGAAGTGTTTATTATGTCAGACAGATAGTGGGCTAGTAAGGGTAACTAAAGGCTTCACTAAACGTTAGCTGTAATTAGCAATTAGCTACATGGCTAGTTGTTACATTCAGGTTTAGCTAGTTAGCTTGTGGCATGAATGGCCACACAGACACACACACACACAAAAAAACAATATATAGCTATATTGGATATCAGACTGTACACAATACTGAACAATACAAATGTTCTGTAAAATGTAAACATACTATATATTATGCATAGTTTGTTTTTGTTTGTACAGTATATAGAGTGAGTGATTTGTCAAAAGCTAGTTAGCTAGTAGTAATAATAATAATTCATTTTATTTGTGGGCATCTTTCAAGACACTCAAGGACACTTTACAAAAAGTAAAATTTTGAATTGAATACGATATCTGATTGGAAACCAATGAAGGTTCCCTAAAACTGGAGTAATATGCTCATTCAACAGTGTTTGTGTAATGATCCGAGCTGCTGAATTCTGAACCATCGAAGTTAATGAATACAGGATGACACTCAGACTCTTAACCTGAGAAGAAAGAAAGATAACAGAGTTGGCGATAGTAAGTGTAAAACTTCCACAATTCCGCAGTTTTGATTTAGTACCTACTAATAAAAATTTAGTTCCCTTTCAGTCGATCACGTGCGGCGTAACATCAACGTGACAACGTAATCGGGACCACTTCAGGGATCACATCACGTGCCCCGCTCCGCAGCGTGGGTATAAACAAGAAGCGGGCGCATGCACACATTGTCTTTCACTTAGGAGCCGAGCTTTCGTCTGACTGAGTTCTGCAGACTGCTGCAATGTTTAAGATTCCAGAAAAGCAAGACTCTGTATTCAGTGCTGGTGTGACTGTGCGATCAGTGGTGGCCTCAAGGATTTTACAGCTCACAACTGCTGTTTTCACAGCATTGCTTGTGTGTGTGTGTGTGTCGGTCTTGGTGGGCGTTCCTCTTTGAGAGTGTACCCCGATTACACCGCGGCTATCCTTGGGTACTTTGGCACTGAAAGAATTTCGATTTCTATTTTTTTTGTTTTCACTAAAAGAGCAACACAAGCGTGACCCTGCGTTCTTTTCAGGATGTCTTTCCGCTCGTGCGTTTATGGATGCGGTCATTCCCTGGCGCCAGCATATGGTCACAATAGTTCCTTTTCGTGTTGGGCATTCAGCACGCTGAGGCAACTTTTGTCAATAGTTCATGTTTTCATTGCGGGAATATGACTATGACTGTGCTGAGATTGAGACTTGCTTACCTCAAGGGAGGTGCAGTCCCCTCGCCTATGCCCTGATCTAGCTTTTATTTTGGACCTCAAAATAAACCTACTACTGTGCATGGTCAGGGTGATCTGAGGATTAACGTGAGGACTTCCCCGCTGAGGCAATCTCCTTGGGTCCCTCACACCTTA